AATATTTTAAATGATGTGACTCATATCATGTCATTGATATCAAATTTTGGTCTCATAAAATTTCTCCCTTTTATCATTATTCATTATATAAATAATAATTTAAAAATTTTTTAATCAAATAAAAATACTCAACAAGAATTACATATAAGAAAAAAAAATTTTCAATTGTTATTTATATAAATTGTTATTTCCTTCCAATGGATATTGTTGCCCCAATTTGACTTTCACATAGGGTTTGATCTAATGATTTTTTATAATAAATGAATGATAATTAAAAAAAATTAATCTAATAATATGTTTGGATTGAGGGAGGGAAAAAATTTTTTTATTTGGTTACCAAAAAATTTAAAGTGAATGCAAAAGGGAGGAGTGTCGTCTATATTATTTTTTTCTTTTAATTTTTTCACTAATTTGAATGAAGGGAGAGGGATGAGAGCGAAATGGAAGAAGAATATGACATTTTTCCATTCACTTCCCCTTCTCTTCCCTCAATTTCTTTCAAATCAAACATGTTATAAGTAAAAATACTTAATAAGTACTATATATAGAAAGAAAAAATTTTCAATTATCATCTATTTATAGTATAAAATCATCTAGTTAAACATTATGCAAAAGTCAAACTAAAACAACTAGAACTACTAAAATTAAACAAAGGTGTATCCTAAAAATGAAAATTAATACAATAACCAAATTTGAATATCACATAATGTAAGGCTGTTCAGACCGTATCTATATTGGTTAATCTAATCCAAACTAATCAAATTCAATCCTATCCATATTGATTAATCTAATCAAAATTGATCAAATTAAATTGCAATACAATCTAAATCCATATCAATTTGGGTTTGTTTGGATGATAAAATTCTAAAACTAATATAAATAATTTGATCAGTGGTTTTACTTTCAAATCAACCAAACTACATGACTACAAAATAACCTAACTAAATAATATAATATTTTTACTTTTGTATTTTTCAATAAATATATTTTTAGAATTTTTTGGTATAAAAATATAACATTTTTTTAAAATTTTTATTTTTATACAAATTTTATTTTAAATTTTCATTTCTTGTCCTATGTAAATAAAAACTCTATTCTTGTTCTTTGCTCATCTAAATTCATGTCTGCTATTCTCAACAAAGCACACACAATCCGCACTGGGCATTTGCTAGCCCATTCCTTCTCATGTCATTCTCACAATTCCATCGGAAAACAGTTGTTTCAAAATTGATGAAACCACTCTCACCGATACTGTGAAGGAGAAAAAGCTTGAGAAGCTTCAACAAATTGGCGGAGTGAATGGGGTGGCTTCTTCCCTGGAAACCAGCCTGGATAGGGGACTCAATGGCGGTCCTGAGGACATTGCTCGCCGACGTGAGGCATTTGGTTATAACACCTACAAAAAGCCACCATCCAAAAGTTTCTTCTATTTTGTGGTGGAAGCTTTCAAGGGTCTCACAATTTTGATCCTGCTCGGCTGTGCCGCGCTTTCTCTTGCTTTTGGCATCAAGGAGAATGGATTGAAAGACGGTTGGTATGATGGTGGGAGTATTTTCGTAGCTGTTTTTCTGGTCATTGCCGTCTCTGCCATCGGGAACTACAGACAGAACAGACAGTACGAGGTATTGTCTAAAGTCAGCAGCAACATCCAAATTGATGTCATCAGAGGCGGCAGGCGGCAACAGATTTCAATATTTGATATCGTGGTAGGAGATATTGTTTGCCTGAAAATCGGAGATCAAGTTCCAGCAGATGGGTTATTCTTGGATGGACATTCTTTGCAGATAGACGAATCCAGCATGACAGGGGAGAGCGACCATGTTGAGGTGAATTCAAAGCAAAACCCGTTCTTGATTTCTGGTACCAAGGTGGTTGATGGGTATGCTCGGATGCTTGTCACTTCCTTTGGAATGAACATGACTTGGGGCCAGATGATGAGCCAACTGACAGGTGACATCAAGGAGCAGACGCCACTGCAGGTCCAGTTAAACAAGCTAACGTCCACAATAGGTAAGGTCGGTTTGGCAGTGGCTTTCTCGGCTCTTGTAGTGTTGTTGGTTCGTTACTTCACCGGAAATACAAGGGATGAGAATGGAAGCACAGAGTTCAACGGTAGCAGCGCAAAATCCAATGATATAATAAACGCTGTGGTGGGGATAGTTGCTGCTGCCGTTACCATCGTCGTTGTTGCTACCGCAGAAGGGCTGCCGTTGGCTGTTACGCTGACTTTGGCTTATTCAATGAAGAGAATGATGGCGGACCAGGCGATGGTCCGGAAGCTTTCTGCTTGTGAAACTATGGGGTCTGCCACCACAATTTGCACAGACAAAACGGGTACTCTTACACTTAATCAGATGAAGGTGACAAAGTTTTGGCTGGGGAAGAAAACCATGGATGAAGTTTCTTCTTCAATTTCTTCATTTATTGTTAACTTGATTCATCAAGGAGTTTCTCTTCACACAACCGGGAGTGTTTACAGAGGTTCTTTAGGGTCGGGATTTGAATTTTTTGGAAGTCCAACGGAAAAGGCAATTCTTTCTTGGGCTGTTCTGGAGATGAAGATGGATATGGAGGAAATGAAGAGGAATTTCACAATTCTCTTCGTGGAAGCGTTCAATTCTCAGAAGAAAAAGAGCGGAGTTTTGATCAAGAAAAAAGAAGATAACACAGTTTATGTTCATTGGAAAGGAGCAGCAGAAATGATTTTGGCTATGTGCTCAAGCTACTATGATGCTTCAGGAGTTATGAAAGATCTTAATGGAGAAGAAAGGATGGAATTCAAGAAAATTATTCAGGGAATGGCAGCAAGCGGTCTCCAGTGCATCGCTTTCGCTCACAAACAAGTTGCAGAAACAGAGGAAGAAGATGTGGAAGAGAAGAAAAAGCTTGAAGAGGAAAACTTGACCTTGTTGGGACTTGTGGGTATCAAGGATCCATGTCGGCCAGGGGTGAAGAAGGCAGTGGAGGACTGCCAGTGTGCCGGAGTGAACGTCAAGATGATTACTGGCGACGATGTCTTCACAGCAAAAGCTATTGCCACTGAATGTGGGATTCTCCCGCCGGATCAGGTCGTGGATAGTGGAGCCATCATGGAAGGCGAGGAATTCCGGAACTGTACACCAGAAGAAAGGATGGAGAAGGTGGAGAAGATCCGCATTATGGCAAGATCATCTCCTTTTGACAAACTTCTTATGGTGCAGTGCTTGAAACAGAAAGGGCATGTAGTCGCAGTCACTGGAGATGGTACCAATGATGCTTCAGCACTCAAAGAAGCTGATATTGGATTGTCAATGGGGATTCGAGGGACAGAAGTTGCGAAAGAGAGCTCCGATATTGTCATCTTGGATGACAAATTTGCTACCGTGGCCACCATTCTGAAGTGGGGCAGATGTGTTCACACCAACATACAGAAATTCATTCAAGTCCAACTGACAGTAAATGTTGCGGCTCTGGTGATCAACTTCGTGACAGCCATTTTTGCAGGAAAAGCTCTTTTAACTATACCTAAGCTTTTGTGGGTGAACTTGATCATGGACACATTGGGTGCTCTGGCTCTAGCCACAGAGAAGCCCACCAAGGAATTGATGAAGAAGCCGCCTGTTGGCCGCACAGAGCAATTGATTACCAATATTATGTGGAGGAACCTCCTGGCTCAAGCTCTTTACCAAATTACAATAGTCCTGACCCTGCAATTCAAAGGAGAATCAATATTCAGAGTAACTGAAGCCGTGAATGACACCTTGATTTTCAACACTTCTGTGCTTTGTCAAGTTTTCAATGTATTCAACGCAAGGAAGCTGCAAAAGAAGAATGTATTCGAGGGTATTCATAAGAACAAGCTGTTTTTAGGGATGGTCGGAATGATCATTGTCCTTCAAGCGTTGACGGTGGAGCTTCTAAAGCGGTTTGCAGGCACAGAGAGGTTGAATTGGGGACAATGGGGCGCCTGCATCGCCATTGCTGCTATATCTTTGCCCATTGGCTGGATCGTTAAGTGCATACCGGTGCCAGAGAGACCTATTTTTCAACTAGCTCAAATGGAAGGAGTACACATAATGCTTCAAAAATTTATTCATTCTTTAAATATCTGCTTGCATATCCTGTGATTTGTTTTAGATTTCTCCTTTTTATGTTTGTGGATTTTTCTATTCTGTACTTTTAAAGTACAGGATAACATAATTAATTTTTATAAAAATATAAATGTTAACTTTGATTTAATTAATTAATTAATTAATTAAGATCATTCATGTATCAATAATATTAAAATATATATTAATTTTTATATTTTTTCATTTAAATTAATTAAAAAATATATATTTATTGTATTTTTAACCAGTATTCTTCAAGGCATAAATTAGACAAATATAGATTTGTATAAGCTATAACTCGTCCTTTAAATTTCTACATAGATATTTTGGAGTTCGATTCACAGTTTTCTCCATTAATTCTATTTGCCTATAATAAACATATAATAAAATAACTTGATCCTTTTGACATGAATAGCGCAACTCAACATGTTTAATTTTTGTTTGAATGTAATAAAAAACATTATCATAAATCAATATGCAACACGCTGCAAAGATGAATAAGTTATTATTGTAACATCGATAAGCACTTTCTAGCCACTGAAGCAACATGAATCTTAGGAGTAAGTGAAGAAAATGTACCTTGGTGCCCAATATGAAGTTGTTTTAAACCCTTTGTGGAATCAAATAAAGTCAGTTAGCCTTATTCTTACTGATCAAAAGAAAAGAAATATGTTAACATTATTATTATCAAACGCAGCAACCTGAACAAAAATCAATTGCAAGGATCAGCAATTTCACTTATTTATGGGACAGGGCAATGCCATAGTTTCAACGAACACATTGAATCTTGAAAACTGTGCGCACCTTGAAAGAAAAGGATATTTAGTCGTTTAAGTCCCAGAACTGACCTTAATATATACCTTGTTCCATGATCAAGCATCATGTGAATGGCCCATACCAGCAGGGTCTCTACCAACAATGTAAAAGCTAGCCCCTGAATTTGTCAAAGATATTTCATGCCACTGGACTTCATTTGGGCAGGCATAATATATGGGAGTTGGGAATATAGACACCACTGTTGTTTCTGGATCTAGAACACCATCCTCAAGCACCCGATCAATCTTCATCAAACTAAGTCAGCAATAGAAGCAAATACATGAAGGATGGACCAATAAAAACAAACCAATACATGAAGAATCAAATAAATAAGTTTCCGACACACATAAAATAAAATAAAATAAACAAATTTCAATTGTCGATCTTCTCTGGAATCCTCCCCACTGAGGATTCTGGTAATATATTCTTCGTCCGCGATTCTTGACAATGGTTATCTCGGAAGTCTCTCGACGACCTAACTCATAACCATCGGAGAGGTGAAATCAACTTTCAGTGTTGGGATACCGAAGCTCAATAACAAAGCGGCCAAGAAGCCAGAGAGGCGGGTAGGGCTGTTTCTCAAGCTTTTATAGAAGGCTGCTTTTGTCAACCGTAAAAGTTGCCATTGCATTCGAGAGGCGGTAAGCAGGGCCATTTCTCGGGCTGTTTCTCAAGATTTTACAGAAAGGCCGATAAAAAGTGGCCAAGAAGTTTCATTGCATTTGTGAACACTAGTGGCCAAGAAGTTTCATTGCTTAGTGGTCAGAAAAGACGGAAACGCGTAGCACGGTGGGGGAGGGAAAACGCGTATTGGAAGAAAAATAAAGGAAGCTTACCTATTCCCTTCAAAAACGCGTAGCATTAGTAACAGGGTTTGTCCTGCGCATAAATTAAAAAATATTAATTAAATTATTTATAATTAATTTATATAAAAAAATAAAAATTAATTTTAAATTTATTAATTATTCAATTAAAACTATTTAAATGACATTAATATTAAAAATAATATTTTATTTTTATATTTTTTAAATAAAAATTTATTATAAAATAATGTATTTTTTATATATATATTATAAAATAATATATTTAATATATTTTTAATTTATTGTTATTCAAATGTATAAATGGGATGAATCCTTCTTAATAATTAAGAAAACGTGGAATCACCCACTATTACCACTGCACACTTCTAACATGCGTAGTTAAGAAAACGCGGAATGACCGACGACCACCCCTGC